TTGACTGAATACCTTTTTAGACTTCTGGCTACTCTTCATACGAAAAGCATACCTGATGCCTGTCAAAGAAATGCCCATAAATTATGTTTCAATTTATTGGCATTTTTTCCACAGGAAAAGCATCTCGAATACCATTCAAACGTGTGCGAATAAATTCCTCATGAAGTTCCGGCTACTCTCTACATAGGGACGCAAATCCCATGCAAAGTAAGGAGAGACGAATACAGTTTTAACTCAAGGACGTATATCCGATGCTGGCTAAAGACAGGTGAGCAAATTTCTCCCGACTTTCCGAATTTCCGACAGGAAACAAAACAGTTTCCCCATGAACGTTGTTTACAGAGAGGCATTGGCGGAGAATAAGTAAAGCCATCACAGACATAACAAATTCACTTTGAACGGATGCATCCCGCAAGGTCAAGCAAAGGCGGACGAATAAAAGACCTTTTAATTTTCGGCTACTTTTTACACAGGTTCCACATCTAATGCTAGTCAAAGGCATGAAAATAAATCCTCTCTGCAAAGCGCACGTTCCATGGCGTCAAACGAAGATAAGTGAATAAATTAGTTTAAAATTTCCGACTACTTTTTACACGGAAGATATATCTCTAATGCGAATAAGTTCAACGTTATTGAGTTACGTTAAATTTTTTGTGGCTGGCCCACCGTACCTTTTGTAATAATTTGGTGACACGTCTGTCCATAAGATTTAATTGTAAATTCACTCGTCTTTGCAAGTTTCATAGTATGGCGTGTGTGCAAACGTTTTCCTTACAGAAGTAGCCTACTGTCCTAGCTCTCATCACTCTGGGTGAACAAATTTTTACACACATTTTCAACGGAAATATACAAACAAACTACAATGCTATGATAAATAAGAATGAAAAAGAAACGAAAAAAAAAACAAAAAAAATTATTTCAAACATAGTTTACGTGAACCGGGGATGACGTTGAGAAAATATTTTTAAAGTCACGATACTCTTCGCTTAACACAAGTATCACCCTGCCAGATAAACAGCAACTAACGTAAGCATATTTAAAACCTTGGCACTCGTTTTCTTTTTTAGGATTACATTTTTAGAGCTAGCGGATAGCGGTAGAGTGAAAAAGTTGACAAACGTCGACAGGGGTGAAAGAAAAAAAGGGTGGGTAGTGGGGAGTCGTGTGGGGGAGGGGTGAGACAAAAGATTAAAAGCACTTTATCGAAACAACAATACAATACGTTGCGGTGTAAACTAATCCAATAATTGAGTGGATTAAAAGCGTGACCGTAACTTAACGAATACCCCACGGCGAAACGGGAAAGCAAAAACTAGAGGGGGGAGGAGGAGGAAAAACTCCCATATTTAATACATAAGACACTGTGCATAGTTTTTTTTCTTATTGCTTTCTTTTGCGATTTCATTGATGCAAGCTTACTTAGTGTCTTAGAGTTAGGCAAAGAAGAAGAAGAAGAAAAAGGAAAGGAAAACGCTTTCACTATAATTGTAATAAATGAATAAATTTAATGTAATTTTTCTTTATTTATTTTTGCAATTATTCTAATTTTGCAAATTTTTTATGAATAGCTAGGAATCATGCCTCGCATAATATTGTAAAAATGTTGAAACTTTAATGCTTCGTTTGATAAGATTTTCGATAGTATGTCGCTTATGTTATTGTTTTTGTTAGAAAAATGGGGTGTTACAAAAGCCAAAACCCAACCCAAGCACGCTTTTGCACACACACACACACACACACACACACACACATAGACATATATCATTGCCATTACCCTTAGCATCATCGTCATCATCATCATCATCATCGTCATCATCATCATCATCATCATCATTGCCATGATCATCAGCAAGAGCAACTCAACAATAACATCATTAATATCACATTGCATTCATACAGTTTGCGTGTCTATCACAATTTTCATTTGTGTTCTTTAGAGTTTTCATTAAGCATAATTCCGTTACTAATCAGTTTTTCTTGGCACGTACTATCGTTACAACAAAAAAAAAAAATAATAATAAAAAAAAAATGAAAGAAAAGGAAAAATAAGTGCTTTCCTTACTACAAAACGTATAGAATATATATGTATATAAAGAGAGTTAGGCACGGTTTTCATATATATATATATATATTTCATATATATATATATATGTAAGCATTCAATGTGTTTTTAGATTGTACTCTTATCTAGGGGTTTTCGAGTGAAGTTGCATTATTTTTCATTACCGGCGAAAGAAATGACTAATGAAAGAATTCATTTTGAAATCAGTCTTCTATTCAAATGCTTGCAATTTGTGTCCTTTCTTTTGCCTCGTTTCATATGCATGCTGTGCTTTGTATTATAGCATTATTGAGATAAAATGCTAAGAGTCTATATCCAAAAAGTTTGTAGCGAAAATTGAGTAAATTTCATATGTCAAAGAATTTTTCAAAATTTCAAATACTTTAAAAGAATTGATAGGTCCACGTCGACTTAAGAAATGTTGTTAATGATATGTTCAATGTTTCTATTTCGGATTTGGGTAACGACATGAGTAGTATTCTTTCGAATACTGCAACTGAGCATTATTTTAGATTATGTTTATGTTTGTCAATAGATTTACTTTGATCGATATGAGTAGCGATCGATTGAATTTAATTAAGGTATGATTAGAGGTTATGCTTGACCGCTGTAAGCCTAAAAGATCTTTGAAAATTGCCGATCAGATTTTTTCAAAAGCTTGCTTTGATTGACATGAGTAATGATCGCTTGAATTTAATCAAAGAGTTGTTTGAGGTTATGACCAATCTCTTTAAATCCAAAGAGTGCTCCCGATTCGGTTAGAGATTTGCTTTGATCGAGATGAATAGCGATTGATTGAATTTAATTAAAGTGTTGTTAGAGGTTATGCTCGATCGGTCCAAGTTCAAAAGACTTTTGAAAATTATTGATCAGATTTCTTCAAAAGCTTGCTCTGATTGACCTGAGTAATGATCGCTTGAATTCAATCAAAGCGTTGTTTGAGGTTATGATCAATCTTTCCAAGTTCAAAAGATCTTTGCAATTGTCGATCAGATTTCTTCAAAGGCTTGCTTTGATTGGCATGACTAGTAATAGACTGAATTTAATTAAATCATCATTGGACCAATCTCCTTAACTCTAAAGAGTCTTCCCGCTTAAGTTAAAGATTTCTTTCAATAGACAAGGGATCGTGTGTTTTAATTGCTCGTTATTTGAAATTAAATCCACTGTCCTCAAGTCCAAAAGCTCTGAGTCGACTGGATTTGCTGAATGACTTGTTTTCATTGATGTAACTAATGATCGATCGAATTCAATGAAATCGTTATGGGTTCTATGATCGATCTTTCTAACTCCAAAAGACCTTTGGCAATTATTGATCGAGATCATTTGAAAGATTTCCTTTGGTCTACACGAACGAAGTGTAGGAGACGAGTGAAAGAAGCATTTTAGCGATAAAAATCTCTGCATAGAAGATCTTTGAGGTTTGCAGTTCCAGACTATGCATTATCCCCACTATTTATTTGGTTTACAAACTCATTTGTCAATTTTTTCAAACAGAGTTCGATATGATTTCGCTCGAGAAGAGCCTTTTTGCAGATGAAAATTTGCTTCATTGCATTTTTTTCTGTTTAATAATCGTATGGCAACCAAATATCGCGTAGCTTTACATAAATGGTGCCTGCTTATTCTGCAACGATGTTATAATATGAAATGTGCTGATCTTCTCAAGTTTTTAGAGGAGTTTAAACCAATAATTGGTAGATAGATATAAATCGGAAAGTTACATATATATCGTCTATACAAATGTCTCTGATCGGTGTATTACGTAAAAATTTTCCGAAATATTAGATATCCAAAATTCATCCTATAGGTTGATGTAGCTGCCACATAGGCGAGTAGATAAGTCTACGAAGCCGGTGATCGTGCTTTCAAATGTCAGTGCGATGTTATCATACTCGGTCGTAGCTATAGTGAGTGCCAAATCGGTCAGTGTTATGCTTTTGCTGATTGGACACATATTCACTTAGCTGCGACATCTTACTAACTCTTTGTATTTTTCCCCACTCTTTCCTTACTATATCCGACGAGGAGTCACCTTCTGAGCATTTGGCGATGTTAAAAAAATATATATATATATACGACGATCGTACTTATTGCGTCTTCATTTGGAAACGCCCAGGTAAGATTATTACAGGGTCCAAGAACTTTTGCCTATAGCGATCTAAAATGACGATTATCCAAAATTTATCTCCTCAGCGAAAACAGTTGCCTTTTATTTCTCATTACCGAAGTATAGAGAGTACATCCACTCGGTCAAAACCTCTACAACACCTACCTTAAGTAGCGTCCGTCTGTTCGCCTGTTTGTGTAACGTTTGTGGTAAACATTTTCCCGTTTGCAAGAATGAAACAATCGACTGCGCATTTGACAGAAAGCTTGGAAGTTTTTGCTAGCAGCTCGGTATTGAAATTGAGCCAAATCGGTGGAAGGAATATTATCTGAAAACATTCGTGTTTTCAAAAATAAAAAAATGTCATTTTTGTTGGTTTCTTATAAGCCGCAATAGGTACAAAGGCAAAAATTTGCATTTGGATTCTACAATGGTAGTCCTGTAAAAAAATCGAACGCGCCTGCTTAATTTTAGAGAATTTTGAAATTTTCTTATTTTATCGAAACGCTGGAAGCACTGAAAAGAAAGCATCGGAAATCGCATAAGATATATATGTATATATATTCCCGACCACTATCAAATTGTGATGAATATAAAAGATTCGATCGCAGCCGAAAATAATTTCCTTACTTATATTTGTACGCCATGTATTGAAGGAGATCTTACCTTTAATTGCAGACTTTATTTCGATTATAAACTTTTCTTAAAATCAATTTTCTTTAAATTTATAAAAATATTATTTTTTTAAAAATCTTACAAAATTAAATAAATTTCAATATATATATATTTTTCTTTTGTGTATATCTAAAAAAAATCACAAAAAATTTTTCTAAAAAAAAAACTTATCGTAAATCGTTTTCAATATTCATTCGAACCAATCGAAAATTTTATGCAGCTTTAGATCGAAATGATGTTTACCATCTTTACGTTGAAGTTCCACGTATTTAACGTAAGACAAAAATGCCGTCCATAGTGTGCTAAAAATTGATGAGACGACAACTTGATTCTTTGGACGAACAAAAGCGAAATTATATGTTTGTACAATTGGCCAATAAATGAAACCAACTTTATAGGCATCGAAGAATTTCATGCTAACCTATAATGATAAATGCATTCATTCATTTGCACATATGCATATATATAACAGAGTTTTAACAAAATGGAAGAGAAGAGAAGAGAAGAGAAGAGAAGAAAAATAGGAAATTAAGTGAGTAGAAGCGATTTCATCTCATCGCTTTCATTAATTTATAAATGAATTTAAAATATTATCTTATGTATGTTACGTTGCAGTGCTGCAGTGTTGCGGATATTATTATCATGACGATGCATTCATATAATGATAATGGTTTCAATGGTTAATGATGGCATAGCATGATATGAAATTACTGTACATAATGCATGCATTTCATATGTACATGGGAAACGTGTCTATCCGCGGAATATTATTATAAGATTGCCCTGAGAGCGAGAGAATAGCGACCCTGTACTAGTAGTTTTACGTTGAAACGTTTGTGTGTGTCGTCTGTTTACGGTTTATTTTTACATTAAGTGGAATAATTAAGTATTAATCGGACAACGATTTATTGAATTATAGTAATCATCGGATTGCGAACATACGCATATGTACACACATACACACACATATCTATATATATATATATATATATATATACGCACACACATATTTATAAATGAAAGCAAAAATTAATATTTAAGTTGACATGAAACTATACGATTATTGATGTCAATAAAAAATTATTTCTTTTTTGTTTTTATTCGTTGGTCATTTGTGTAATGTACGATCTAAGTGTAATTGTATAATTGACTTCCGACAGATGTCATTTGCAAATATTATTTCCTTGCCATCTTGCCATATTGAATGTATAAACTTTAGTGTTTAAGAAAGAAGAATTGTATTCTTTGATGGTTATACAAACTTAACCTCAGGTTTAATTATTCAGTTAACAGGATCTTATTATTCTTTGCTTATTTTCGTCATAAAGTATTCAAAATTAAATTTTCCGCCATATAAAAAAAAAGAAAAAGTTAATTTTCTTGAGAATCGTTGTATGGATTGGAATCAAGAAATAGATTTAGTTCAAACCTGCTAAAGCTGACTTCTATAACCGATATTCTCCACAAAATTTTACTTTAACTATTTACTTGCTTTTTACATCCATCATCGGAGGATGGAAGGTATATTCAGTTTGTTAAAACGTTTGCAACACTCAGAAGTAAGCTTCAGAGACCTTACCACGCATATAGATTCTTGAGCAGTATCAGCCTGTCCGTCTGCCCGTCTACCCAGTTATACGATTGTCCCTCTGTTTCAAACGTTGTCATGAGACTATCGACTTCAAATTTCGCAGAAAGATTGAAAGTTCTTGCACGCAGATTGATATTGAAAAATGGGCCAAGTCGTTCGAAGTACACGCTTATGGTACTACGAAAAGTGAGAACACCTCTACTTTCCAAAAGGAATAAAAAATTGGGTTTTTGATAAACTATAGCAAATAAGTGTACAAAAATTTGATCGTGTACGCGGAATGCCTTAATACCTGTACACAAACGGAAATAATTGACCAAGCCTATCCACTATGATAGCATATCAAAATTTTACTTTTTTTTCAATCCCTTTATAATGTGCAGAAACATGCTTAAAAGACCCCATAAAACGTATAAATTCTTGGTCAGCTTCAAATTTAGAATGCACGCCCGTCCATTTGTCTGGCCTTCTGCCCGTTTGCCACTCTGCTTGGCATTTGTGATTAACATTCTTCTTTTTCCACGCAGATAAAGGCAGCGCCTACGATTTTGCAAAAGAATTTGGAAGTGACCTTTCAAAGGACACGCCTGCAAAAATAGAATAAATCAGCCTCGCTCACTCAATATAAAAATTCAGTTCTTTCATTTTTTTGTCTTTTTTAGGATAATGATGGTGGCTACAAAAGATTCAGTGAGGACTGAATATAATTTTCTTACTTGTTTATTATTTACTTTTTTCTACACAAGTTAGCCTGCAGCGATAATATCGTTCAGTAGGTTTTGTCGAAACATTTTGAAAACTGTATTTTCTTTGATATGGTAACTTTTTCAACTTAAGCCGCTATTATGTAGAAGTGACCGCAAAAGTGGTCCAAGTCAATCTATTTTCTATAGGCTCTATCCTAGAACCAAGACACATTCAAGACTTCATCAAAATATGCCAAAATTTTCAAAAGTAAAATGAAACCAATAATACTTCAGACGGATAGATGGAGGGATAAGTTTAAACCGCTTCAGAAAATCATCCTGAATAAATCGGTATAATAAAAGGTAGTTCATCCTCCTAGGTATTATATATATGTCCGCAATACCACAACTTACATTGTACTACAAGAAGTGTAGAGTATAAAAAAATTGTAGACTCCTTCAGTCGCTATTGTTGAATATCAGTTTAGGAAAGGATTCGATATAACCTTGATATTGTCTAATCAGCTATTTAGCTTGTGATATTTATAAATAGATGCACATATATATATAAGCACTTTATACACATGTAGCTTGCAGGCGAATCTATATACGCTCGGTTTTAATTTGCTAAATTTTAGAATTTTTTCTCAAGTACAATAGCTTTGCAAGCAGGCCTTTCCAAACTGATGTTGAGCTTCCAGTTATTATTCTTAAAAATTTATATAATATATTTCAGTCCGTTTGATAGCTGGATCTTTGCAAGAAAAGTTGCGTTCATTTCGTTTTCCAACAATATGCCATAACTACTCATTACGTAAAAGCATAATTTTACGCAAACCCTAATGCGTGGTTTGAGAATTTTTTCTCCATGAAGGAAACAAAATAAAACCCAAAATCTCTTTGCGTGCATTTAATTGTCTTAACGTCTAAATTAATTTACTTTCTGTGTCGGTTAAGTAGCAGGAATTTTATCCCAAACCCAACGTAAAAGGAAAAAATGAAACAAAAAAGGGATCAATAACAAGTTGTTAAACAATTATCGACACGTGTGTATTTGAAGAGTCCATCAGTACAAAGAGATTATTTGGCACATGAAATGATTTACGGTACACGTGTCGTTTTCTTTACAAAAAACAAAACAAAAAAAAAAAAAATGAAAGCAAAAGGAAAACAGAAAAAGTATAAAAGAGAATAGGGAAACAATTACATCAACCTTGAAGTGAAATTGTTTTGATTCTCAGCGTTTGCTTGGTTCGATCGTTATCTAAGAAATATTTTCCGAAAATAAAGATAATTAAAAATTGCTTTCGATTAGGTTGACTCACAGTCGATGAGTTCTTTCATTAGATCATTAGACATTAATATGTGAAAGCATTGTTGAAATAACACGGCCTGTAAGAGTCGTATGGTCTGTCTATAGTTATACGTATAAAATATAACAGATGAAAATAATTAGAGTGACAAGCTTTGCAAGAATAATATAACATAAAAAACTATTTTTTGCTTATAAATGCACCGCTCTAAGGATGCTTGACTTGCCGGACAAGAAAATATTGTTTACGTTTGATTGGAGACATCGCTTAAAACAAATTCAGAGAATAACTTCTTAATTGCTGATGCTCCAGTTAGCTAGTTTGGTCCACTTTTACATGCACGGTTAGGATTGTACAGAATTTTGGGACTTTTTGATATAAATTTTGGAGAAAAGCCTTATGGCAAATGTGTAACTTTGCAAACAATTACAAAGTATGAGCGGCGTTAGTATCCCCGTTGATCGTTTGAAGCATTTTTACTTTATGCTTCTGCCTGCATAAGTAGACGAGTGGGTAAGAATCGCGACCACCAGGACAGTGTTCGTGGATTCAAAGCAACAAGTGTAGCGTAGAGTTTACCTTGGTTGTACCTATGTTGACCGGTGTGTTGGTAAAGGCTTAAGGTTTATCGATTGGGCAATGGACTACGGCCACCACCTTCCTAATTCTCTTTCTTTTCTCCTCTAGACGTTGTTTTGTCACCATCAACGTGTTATACAAGCAAGGCATATAATATCGCATAGCACACATTGGACTTGAGATTTCTTACAAGGGGAGCATAATAACTCTTAGTTGTTTTTTATAAAGATTTTAACGCATTTAGTTGCACTTATGTGACAAATATCGATTGCAATTGTATTTTCTCTCGCCTGTATGCGTAATATATATATAGGGCAATATACATCCATACATAGAGACAAGAACGCATCTTGGTTTCCAGGAGAGGTAAGATCTCAAGCATATAATGAAAGTAGTTAAGAAATAAATTCCAATCTTCAAGATTTTATTGGCTGTAAGCAGTTATATATACACAAATAATATATCTTAAAGGGATGACTAAATCGGCACGGTTATGGGACCAGGTAAGAGTGATGACTACCAAGTCAGTCTAGAAGCAAAATGGAGTGCTCAGACCACTTTATCGATTGTGCACACATCCACTAGGCTGCCTTATCCTCCCTGACTATCATCGTGTTACTGCTAGGCTTGATTTCTCTCTAACAATCATCGTATTACGCGAATAGAGGTCATCCCTTGAGCGATTGGTTATGGTAAAAAAAAAAAGAATAAAACATATTCGGAAGATATTGTAAACAAAGTTAATATCGTCCCATAAGTTATAGGTTTTTCATCTCATTTCGCAAATACACTCTAGCTATTAATCTCAAATATTTAGGTTGGAAGACATGTACCTGTACAGTGGCACCAGAGAAAAAAATAAAATTATTATCGCGATGGGCGAACTGGTTCACGTATATCATGTTAAACATCATATTTTAGAAATGCTAATTGGCGCGATCTCTGGCTATAGATACAGGTTAGATTCAGGTGTTTTCATGAACTTTCGTTTCGTTTCCTAATCAATATTTAGGCGATTTCCGCCTATCCAGTGATGCTGAAATTTTACCCACATTTTAAGTTCAGAGAGTAACTCTGAACTGTTCGAAATGGCAGACTCCACTTAGAGGGGATATATTTTTCAAAATAAAGATTCCAAATTAAATATGGCGGAAATCATGCTGGGCGAATCAGTTGTCTGGTAGTTTCCATTACCAAATAGAACTATATGGAGAATGGAACGCTACAAATTAAATGTGTTAATTTTAAATGAAATATGGCGGACACCACGGCATGGTGCATTAATATTTTCTTTATAAAAAAGTGTAAAAAAAGACTTTTAAAAATAAGCTTTTATTTTAATGAAGCAAATGGTAAAACATAAATTTTTTTCCCAGAGTCACATTCATGTAACTATATATAAAAAAACTTGGGGCGTTTAAAAAAAAAAAAAAATGAATTTCTAACGTAAGCTTTTATGTGTGATAACATAAAAATGAGTCTGGGAAAAAAATATTTATTTTCCACCGTTTAGTTCATTAAAATAAAAGTTTACCTAAAAAAAAAAAAAAATTTTTTTTTTGTGTAATTTATTCGACCTTAATGTAATGCGATAGTAAAAAGCAAGAATTTTAGGCAAAGTTTGTTACTAAATGATGATAC